ATAACTATTACGTTATGTATAACATAATAATCAAAAATTTAAAAATAACTGCTATTTTTGAGCCTTTAGTATGTGCCTGGCACTGTTCCTAAGCACTTTAAAGGTATTTATTCATGATCCTCAGAACAATCCCGGGAGGCAGGTACAACTACTATTTCCATTTTACAGATGGGAAAACGGAGACTCATAGCGATTAAATAACTTGCCCACTGTAAAATGATGAGGTAACCAAAGAACTAGGATTTGAACTCAAGTGGGTTAACTTAACCACAACGTCATGTTATGTTTCAGACATTAAGTGCAACTGAGAAAGCTTGTTGGGGAAGGCAGGGTTTGTGTTGGTCCTTCCAGAGCAGGAAGAATGTCAGCTGCTAGTTATGGAGGAGGGAAGAATTTGAAAAAAGGGAAAAGGGAACTGCGCAGGCAATGTTTGGGGAGAAGCAGGTGTACTTGGACCATATGGTGTGGCACTGGCCTCTAGGGGGAACACGAGACAGCTCTCCCACCTACCTTGGACCCCACTGCACACCAAATGGTCAAAATGAAGAGTTAAAAAAAACACCCCTCCAGAGAGGACGAGTTTTACTTAAACCCAAGGTACCAATCAGGACACGTGTTCTAGAAGTGTAGCCTTGGAAGGGAATAAAAGTCACAGCACTATTGGGCTTGTTTTTTCTTGTCTTCAGACCCACTTCCATAAAGGAGAGGTTAGCCCTATTAAGAAGATCGTATGTTTCCAGTCTGGTGAGGGGAGGGAGTAGATCTGAGGTGATGAGGGAGGAAAATTAGAAGGATACTATGCCACTGTAGCCTTGATATTCCTAGCGGAATAGAAGGCAGTTCACTGACGGAGAAATGGGTCAATGTAGTAGTTGAGAAATAGGTGCTATGGTGTTTTTCTAGAGCATTCTTAGCAAATGGGAAAACACACTACTGCCCAGCTAAATTCAGATAGCATAAGTATGAAATACATCTAATCAGCATGGTGATATTGTCTCCTTTAGCAAATCCCAGTCACTCAGGCCAGGGAACCAACCAACTGACAAACAAATCACTTGAAAAGTAACGCCAGGTTGCAGATAAGCAGACCGTAGGTTGAAGAAGGACATAAAGATCTAGCGATAGAGCTGGTTACATGGGTGTCGGGGGAACACTAGTGAAGAGGAGTTGTTTCCAGCTCAAGAGCAGAAGATCTGGGGACAACCGGGAGGTACACCAGCAGGAGTGAGCTGGGGGTAGAGCGGAAGAGCAAAAGCTACTTCCCGAGTGCCAAGTCGTGAAGAAGCCTACGGTGTCACCACACCAAGGTGATGGGGGCAGCAGAATTGACGAGGTTGGGAAATCAGGATATCAGGGGTCAGAAAGGTCATCAACGTGGATGTTGGTTGTCCCAAATGCTGGCAAATGCTGGAGAGGAAAAATGGACCTGGAGGTCCTGTGCCCGGGAGAGCGGTAGAGAACATCCTGTAAGTCTGCACACGGTGCCTCTGAAGGTACAGTGAGGGCAGTCTGTGTGCCAGGTGTGTGATGACAGCGGGAGACGGTGCAGAGACAGCAGGGTAGGGGGGCAGGGAGAAGGCAGGCTCATCGCTTGGTCTGTGATGTGGTGGTGGGAGAAGAGGGCGCTGTGTGAGGGCGTGGAGGGAGAAGACAGCTTTCAGCAAGGGCAGCTGGTCACAGGTGACCGCAGGGGCCCAGCTCGGGGCGACTGGCCGTGCTGGGAGAATGCGTTCCTGTCTCCTGTCTGCTTCCACCACCTACGTGTTTGGCAGGCTAGGGACTGGGGTGGGGTAAGGAAGAAATATTACTGGCTTTCTTCTTGTTTCCCTTTTTTCCCTAAAACTTATAATTTTCTCTGCTCTTCACTGCATGCCATACTAATTTACAATTTCATCTCATACCACATTGCAAGCCCTAATCACCATGATGTATTCCCACGTGATTCTGTTATTATTTTAGAGGAAGCTGCCAGTATTGCTTTGACTTCACTCTCTTCTAGGGCAGTTTACAGTAGGCCACACCACTGCGCAACCATCCACAATTAATAAAAATCAGACAGACAGGCGGCTCAGACGAAGCATGACAGTGCGCCACATGCTACGGACATTCCTGAATTCCAGGACACTTTACAACTTGGAACCTCAAGATTTTGAAAATTTGTTATCCAAGGGTTCCCAGGGAAAAAAAATGTTAGTGTTGTCCTTGAATCAGTACAGAGAGGCGGCTGAGAGCGTGGGCTGAGGGATCAGACAGACCTGCGGTCAAGTGCACCGAGGGTCCGGCTGGCAGCGCCCGTGGGCAGTCTCAGACCTTCTCCAAGTCCTGGATTCCGCCCTCGTCTCTGCTTTTCCTGATCACGGCTCACAGCATCCTCAAACTCCTGCGATCCAGTGACCCTCCTGCCTCGGCCTCCCACAGTGCTAGGATTACAGGCGTGAGCCACTGTGTCCGGCCCAGATTCCTCATCTTTTAACGGGGATGGTATCTGTTTCGCAACGTTGCTGAGGGACTGAACGAGATCATGCGCACAAGGAACTCCACATGCTAAGTGCTCAGTCAGTGCTACTACTTTTTTTTAAACTTAATGTTTTTCTTATTTTGTTTTGTGAGTTTCTCCAGGAAAAAGGTGTTGGTAAGCTGAGGAGATACACACACACACACACACACACATTTTTTTCCCCATCAGGAGCATTAAAATAAGAACAATTGACATCCGATTTTTTTTCTTACCTTAAGCTTAGGAGGGTACCTGAGGTCATGAATTTCATTTTATAGGTGAATAATTAAAGGTAGTGAAAAAGTAAAGCAGGGAACGGATCCCGAACCTGCTATTCCCAGGGTGCCTGTCCCCCACCTCCCTGCCACCACTCCACTGCCTAATTTTCAATTGCTCTTGTGCAAGCCCTCATTTGTTGTGATCTTCTCCCCTGAGACACGCACACGCACGTGTAAATACACACTCTGTCACTACATGCACATTACCTTTGGATACGATGATGAAGCCATGATATTAACCCTTTACAGTAAGCTTTTTATTCATAATTCATTGAAGACGTGTCCAAACTGCCATTTTTTAAAACCTAAGGTACTTCATGTTTTTGTCCTTGCTGGTTTTAGATTACACACAAGGAAAATACTTGCATACTTAAAAATACTTAGCTTTTCTACTTTTGACTGAATCCAAATACATTACTAGCAAAGTAAACCAGGCAGTTTTTGGGTTTGATTTCTACGAGGAACACTCATGGATTCTAAGTGGAAGAGACCACAGCAAAGTGGAGGGCATGAATCCAAGTGAGGAAGCCTACAAGGTGCATTTGTTAAGTGGGCAGTTATTTCTTACGACAGTCTTTTCCTAGAACCGTATCTCAGTCCTCCACGGTCTACTGATTGCTACTTAAAACAGCACCGAGTTCTGCCTGATTCACTTCACCCACAGATTAGAAATATGTTGAGGTACGCAAAACAGACATCGGGACAAAATTAACAGGATCAGCACACCGTGGGAGAGCAGGGACGTTACATACTTACTACTGCATGCAGGCATCTGGCAAGATCTTACGAGAGGGAGCCCCGGCAGGTCCCTGCACATCGTCTCGCTGAGGGGAACGCGCCGGCCTTTGGCCGTCAGCCTCTGACACACCTGCTTCCTCCTCTCGACCCCGGCACCGCAGCTGACGGAGCACTGCAAAGAGTCATGCAACGGTCAAGTGGAGCGTGAGCAGGCGAACCCAGCCAGCAACAGCAAAGGCGCAAACGGTGGAACAAGAGGGAGTTTTAAGTGTGGATGTGCCGACAAGAAAGCCATTTCCTGCGCTTGAACATCTTTCTATGGAGAGTTTCTTTCTCCTCTCCTCCCCTTCCCTTCTTCTCTTTGTTTTTCCTTCAGTCTCTCCCTCCTGTCCCTACTCACTCACTCACTCCTTCCTTCCTTTCAAGATAGCAATTTCCAGTAATGTATTGTCACAGGATTTGTTTTTTGGCATTGTAATTGATATCTCATTTATTTTTTAGCTATTTATTTATATAGTAAAATGACTTTGATTTTTAAAAAAATAATGCATACACGTTACCAATAATCCAAGAAATAGAAATGTATAAAAAGGAAAGTTTAAAAAAAATCACCCAAACTGTCTACATATGAAATAACAGTAATACTTGATAATCATTGTGTATATATGCAATTTCAATTTTAAAATTAAATGCAATTTTATTAGGTTTTATTAGGGAAAAAGCTAAATTCAAGGAGTTGTTTAACATCTAATTTTTACCATGATTAATTCCCAACACTCTAAAGTTAGGAAAGAAGATTAAAGGAGTCAATGAGAGATTTGAATAGTTGTTTTTAATGACATATTTTGACTGAAGAGAGTATCTATCGACTTGCTGTTAAGAAGGATGAGGAAATAAGCACTTAACTCCCCACCTCTCCTCTCCAAACTCCCGATTAGTTTTCATTGTATTATTTAGATAATATCAAGATCTCTGATATTTACATTCTGTTCTGGAATGCAATTGCCAGTTGATTAGTCTGAATTCCATACTTACATAAATTCATTACTCATCTTCCATCTTTTTTTTTTTAACCAGGTCTATGCATTCCTGGATTCCTTATTTTGAGTCATCTTTGTGTCTCAGCTCAGCCCTGCGGTTTTTCAAGAAGGGCTTATCAGCACATATTCCCGGACTGCCTCCCTGTTGCCTCTCTACATGAAAAGCAACTGCGATGAGAAAGTTCGAGGGTCCCACTCTCCTTCCCTAAGAGCTGTGTAGATGCTGCTCTGTCGTCTTCCGGATTCAACGCTCCTGTGAAGACGGGCATTTTGTTCATGTGTTTGCATTTTCTGTTTAGAGGCCTGTGGGTTCCTTCTTTATCCGTGAAGCTCAGCACCTTATCAGGCTGATAGGGGTTGTGTTTACTCCGCACAGGGTTGTGCCATTATTAACCTGCAGGAAAAAGCTTTTATAGGGAATTAATTACCCTGATTTTATCTCTGAATATTTTTCTACTCCATTTGTCTCATTCTTCTCAACAAATACCAGTTATGCTTATGTTTGGTGTCCTTTGTCTTCCATGTCCATCGTTGCCTCTCAAAACCATTTTACAGCTTTGTTCTTTCACGTATCATTTTATAAGACTGACTTCAGCCTCTATACCGTATCTCTGTTTTCAGTCATTTTATTATTATTTTGTTGTTGCTTGTAACGTAACTTTTGTGTCTGCTTTTTTTGTGTCTGCTTTTTAATTTTTCTCTTTTTTTTCCCCTGACTGTTCCAGTTGTCTTTTCTCTCTTCCTGTTGTCTTATCTCTTTTTTGAGCTCAAACCTCATTTTTAAGCACTTTTCCCTAGACATGATGAATACAATTTCGTTGGGAATACGGGGCCTATTTGTGGGGACTTTTCTCTGGGAACTGTCTCTGGTGTGTTGTCCACCTAACACTCGCTTTCTGCTCCTCCCCCCACACCCAGCTGCCTCCCTGGTCTTGAGGCTAGATTCTGTGCTGGTGCTTTGAATACAGCTGGATGTGTGTGCATTACAGGATGGGGCACGACCTAGGGACGTTTATATCAGTGTGTTGTCTTCAACCCTCTGTCACCAAATCTCTTACACTTCCTTTACCCACATCTCCCTTCGGATTTTGGCATTTGCATGCTTGATGTGTCTAAGAAAAGAGCCTCTTAGGTAACTGCTTCCATAATCCATAATCCAACAACTGCTGCCTCCCCTCCCTTCCCACCACTTCAGCACTGGCAGCCTTCTTCAGCCAGGAGGCGGGAAAACGTGGTTTCTCCTTCAGCCTCATCTCCTGCCATGGTTCTGCAGGAACATGCGTGGTGTTTTCAGGGCCAGCGTGTGTTCTCGGTTCAGTCTCTATAATCAAAGAACTGTTGAATGGGCCTTTCAGGACTGCCACACTCACTCCCAGAGAAATCTGTATCCTGCTCGGAGCCCGAGGAGACACTTGTCAGTTCTCAGCCTTCCTTCTCATTTTGGTCCAGATTCTATGGTCTTTGGCAGGTGTGTTTCATAATTTATAGTTTGGGATTGTGGCCATTTCATTGTTCATTGAAGACAGAGTGTTCTCTTCCTTTCATTGTCTTTGTGGGTTTTTTGTTGAGTTTCAAAGGAGGGAAATGGAATTTTTTTTTAATACCATTATTGTCATCTTTTAACAGAAAGCTTTAATAATTACTATTTTTCAGTATAGAGAAAATGTTTCTGTAGGCTTTTGAACAAATATTTTAAAATTACCATTTATCAAATTATCATTTAGCCTCTTAACAGGTCAAATCATCATTTAGGAGTTTCCCACATAAAGATCAATGTCAGCTTTTTATTAAACTGCCATGTGAGCCATTTTTGTTCATATAACAGAGGGGTAAAATAACTGCCAATCACTACTCCCAA